ATCTATCTATCTATCATCTACCTACCTACCTACCTACCTACCTACCTACCTACCTACCTATCGCTGTGTGTGTGTGTGTGTGTGTGTGTGTGTGCGTGTGTGCGTGTGTGTGTGTGTGTGTGTGTTCCAGCATAACTCTGGAACGCCTTGAGCAATTTCAGCCAAACTTGGTAACACAGGTGACTTACTCTCTGGAAAAAAAATACTGTGGGAGTAAGACACCCCTAACACACTTGGGGGTGGTGGTGTTCTGTTAAGATACAGCCTGTTGTGCCTTAAAATGTCTTCTACTGTACTGCTGTAAATGTCTTCTACTGTACTGCTGTAAAATGTCTTCTACTGTACAGGGCACCAGAGTTGCCATGGTAGCAGCTTCACAATAGTCCCACAGGTAAGTGGGGAAATCCAACATTTGGAATTGCGTTTGGTCTGGACATTTTCCCTCTGTAAATAAATACCCAGGCAACACCGGGTTATCGACTAATAGAATATAAATTTCAGTAGGAGACAATATTTGTAGCTCAGGTTGAACTGTGGGGTCTTTTGTGTTCTCTGAGCTTCATTGTTCTCTTGCAGACTTTTCACTGCCCAACTAGGGAACATCATCAGTGCTAGAATAGAGTGGGGTTTGCTTCCCCTCTTTTTTTACATGGGGGACAGCGTAGGAGAAGAGCAGGCAGAGCTGGTGGTGGAGTTAAGTAAGGAATAAGCCTAGAACCCTTCTGCTGCCACAAAGAAGTCCAACCTTTCTGGAACAAGAAGAATGGGAGGAGGAGGAGAAGAGGAGAACTGTGGGGTCCTTGGTGCTGTCTGTGCTTGTTTTTGACCCAGACATCTCATTACCCAACTAGATAACATCATCAGTGCTAGAAGGGAGTGGGCGTTGCTTTCTGTGTTTGTCTCTGTTTGTTCAGAGAGCAAATCCAGCTCCTTTCTAGCTGTGATGATGTTACCTAGTTAGGTAATGAAAACGTCTGGAAGGAAACAACCAAGCTCAGAGAGCACCAAGGACCCCACAATTCTCC